GATGAGGCAGGACTGCAAAGAGACCTGGACAGGCTGGACATGTGGTCCAGAAACTGGCTTCTCAAATTCAACCCTGCCAAAGGCAAAGTCATGAAGACTGGGGAGTGGCAAAGAAGACCGCAGACAGAGTATAGGCTATGTGGACAAAGACTACAGACCTCACTCAGGGAGAAAGACCTTAGGGTGACCATAACACCGAGCACGTCACCGGAGGCACACATCAACCAAATAACTGCTGCAGCATATGGGCGTCTGGAAAACCATGAGAATAGCGTTCCGATACCTTAATAAGGAATCGTTCAAGACACTGTACACTGTGTATGTTAGGCCCATACTGGAGTATGCAGCACCAGTCTGGAACCCACACCTGGTCAAGCACGTCAAGAAGAGAAAGTACAAAGGTTTGCAACAAGGCTAGTCCCAGAACTCAGGGGAATGTCGTACGAGGAAAGGTTGAGGGAAATTGGACTGACTACACTGGAGGACAGAAGGGTCAGGGAAGACATGATAACGACGTACAAGGTACTGCGGGAAATAGACAAGGTGGACAGAGATAGGATGTTCCAAAGAGGGGACACAGAAACAAGGGGTCACAACTGGGAGCTGAAGACCCAGACGAGTCACAGGGAGGTTAGGATGTATTTCTTCAGTCATAGAGTCGTTAGGAAGTGGAATAGCCTAGCAAGTGAAGTAGTGGAGGCAGGAACCATACATAGTTTTAAGAAGAGGTATGGCAAAGCTCAGGAAGCAGAGAGGGAGAGGATCTAGTAGCGATCAGTGAAGAGGCGGGGCCAGGAGCTGAGTCTCGACCCCTGCAACCACAATTAGGTAAGTACAATTAGGTGAGTGCACACACACACACACACACACACACACACACATAGTATCATCACAACATTACCACCACTAGAGTAAGAACATAAGAACATAAGAAAGGAGGAACACTGCAGGAGGCCTGTTGGCCCATACTAGGCAGGTCCTCTACAATTCATCCCACTAACAAAACATTTGCCCAACCCAATTTTCAATGCCACCCAAGAAATAAGCTCTGATGTGAAAGTCCCACTCAAATCCAACCCCTCCCACTCATGTACTTATCCAACCTAAATTTGAAACTACCCAAAGTCCCAGCCTCAATAACCCAACTAGGTAGACTGTTCCACTCATCAACTACCCTATTTCCAAACCAATACTTTCCTATGTCCTTTCTAAATCTAAACTTATCTAATTTAAATCCATTACTGCGGGTTCTCTCTTGGAGAGACATCCTCAAGACCTTATTAATATCCCCTTTATTAATACCTATCTTCCACTTATACACTTCGATCAGGTCTCCCCTCATTCTTCGTCTAACAAGTGAATGTAACTTAAGAGTCTTCAATCTTTCTTCACAAGGAAGATTTATAATGCTATGTATTAATTTAGTCATCCTACGCTGAATGTTTTCTAACGAATTTATGTCCATTCTGTAATGTGGAGACCAGAACTGAGCTGCATAATCTAGGTGAGGCCTTACTAATGATGTATAAAGCTGCAGTATGACCTCTGGACTTCTGTTGCTTACACTTCTTGATATAAATCCCAGTAATCTATTTGCCTTATTACACACGCTCAGGCATTGCTGTCTTGGTTTAAGGTTGCTGCTCACCATAACCCCCAAGTCCTTTTCGCAATCTGTATGGCTAAGTTCTACATCATTTAACTTACAAGTACTCGGGTTATGGGCACTCCCAAGCTTCAGAACCTTGCATTTATCTACATTGAACTGCATCTGCCACTTTTCTGACCAAGAATAGAGTTTGTTCAAATCCTCCTGAAGTTCCATAACATCTACGTTTGAATCAATTATCGTACCTATCTTTGTGTCATCGGCGAATTCGCTCATATCACTAGTAATTCCCTCATCAAGATCATTGATATATATTATAAACAACAACGGGCCCAAGACTGATCCCTGTGGAACGCCACTTGTTACAGATCCCCACTCGGATTTAACCCCACTTATGGACACTCTCCGCTTCCCGTCAGTGAGCCATGACTCGATCCACGAGAGCACTTCTCCCCCAATGCCGTGAGCTGCCACCTTCTTTAACAGTCTATGGTGCGGAACTCCATCAAATGTTACCACCACAAGAGTACTTAACAGTCACCTGTCAAACAATACTTAGCAGTAACCTGTCAAGCAGTACCCAACACTAATCTGTTAAACAGTACCCAACACTAATCTGTCAAACAATACCTAACAGTAATCTGTCAAACAGTACCTAACACTAATCTGTCAAACAATACCTAACAGTAATCTGTCAAACAGTACCTAACACTAATCTAGCAAACAGTACCTAACACTAATCTGTCAAACAGTACCTAACAGTAATCTGTCAAACAATACCTAACAGTAATCTGTCAAACAGTACCTAACAGTAAGGAATTAAACCTTAAACAACAGGTTCACATTCCTATCTTATAAATCGTGTTTGGAATCAATACCATTCTTCCACACCATGAACACCCCCCTCAATATTTCTCCTTTAATACCTACATGTATTTCATCTCTCTATATACATGGAACTTCCATTAGTCTTCAACACAGCGATATATGAACGTTATATTTTGAATACAGTTTTCAATTGCCCTTTTTCTTATGAACAATTTTAATAGAAAAATATGTTTAACTATCACAAAAAAATAATGCATCCTCAAGGCTCCGGTTTATTTAATTACTTATATCTAAGAGTGTCATATTATATCTAAGAGTGTCGTATTAAATTAAGAGTGTCATGTTACAGTGAAATTCCAAAAAATGTGTGTGTGTGTGTGTGTGTGTGTGTGTGTGTGTGTGTGTGTGTGTGTGTGTGTGTGTGTGTGTGCGTGTGTGTGTGTGTGTGTGTGTGTGTACACGTGTGCAAACAATTGTAGACAGGTGATCTGGACAATGCATAACAACCCACGGGGGGGGGGGGGATGTATATGCTCATAAAATATACTAAACACACAGATTATGGACAAAATTTACTGAGTAATTACCAAATGACGTTTCAGTGTATCACGCAGCAATAAAGTATTTATGTGTAACCAGAGAGATCTTCAGTGATTCTGGTATTGTGTTGATGTGGCGTCCTCACGTGTGAATGTTGCTCAAAACACCTTACACTGATTTACAGTTTACGTAAGTATCAAAAACCTCGGACGTGTCGGTTTATTCTGATTGTTTTATTCAAAATAAAGATGTTCTAATTAGTTTAAAGTGAATACAGGAAAGAGTAAGGTTATGAGGATAACAAAAAGATTAGGTGATGAAAGATTGGATATCAGATTGGAGGGAGAGAATATGGAAGAGGTGAATGTATTCAGATATTTGGGAGTGGACGTGTCAGCGGATGGGTCTATGAAAGATGAGGTGAATCATAGAATTGATGAGGGGTAAAGGGTGAGTGGTGCACTTAGGAGTCTGTGGAGACAAAGAACTTTGTCCTTGGAAGCAAAGAGGGGAATGTATGAGAGTATAGTTTTACCAACGCTCTTATATGGGTGTGAAGCATGGGTGATGAATGTTGCAGCGAGGAGAAGGCTGGAGGCAGTGGAGATGTCATGTCTGAGGGGAATGTGTGGTGTGAATATAATGCAGAGAATTCGTAGTCTGGAAGTTAGGAGGAGGTGCAGGATTACCAAAACTGTTGTCCAGAGGGCTGAGGAAGGGTTGTTGAGGTGGTTCGGACATGTAGAGAGAATGGAGCGAAACAGAATGACTTCAAGAGTGTATCAGTCTGTAGTGGAAGGAAGGCGGGTTAGGGGTCGGCCTAGGAAAGGTTGGAGGGAGGGGGTAAAGGAGGTTTTGTGTTCGAGGGGCTTGGACTTCCAGCGGGCATGCGTGTTTGATAGGAGTGAATGGAGACAAATGGATTTTAATACTTGACGTGCTGTTGGAGTGTGAGCAAAGTAACATTTATGAAGGGATTCAGGGAAACCGGCAGGCCGGACTTGAGTCCTGGAGATGGGAAGTACAGTGCCTGCACTCTGAAGGAGGGGTGTTAATGTTGCAGTTTAAAAACTGTAGTGTAAAGCACCCTTCTGGCAAGACAGTGATGGAGTGAATGATGGTGAAAATTTTTCTTTTTCGGGCCACTCTGTCTTGGTGGGAATCGGCCAGTGTGTTAATAATAATAATATAATAATAAATAATAATAAAATAATAAATAATAATAATTAATAATAATAATAATAATAATAATATAATAATAATATATATTTTTCTACCTCGGTAGCAAATTTGTTGTCCAGTGTCATCACCGTGGATTATAAAATTTCTGGAGCACTCTTGTGATGTTAAAGTTTTTATAAAATACCGACAAGTTGATGAGTAAGACATATGTGCAGCAATTAAGTAGCTATATTTTTTAAACTTTTCGCCTACGAGGTAGGCTTCATCAAATACTGAGAAGAATGAACTGTAGGCAGCAAGATTAGTGGCCTCAGCTTCATATCGTTCCAGAACATGAAGCTGATCTCTTCGCCAGGCAGAGGGACTGACCACCTCAAACTATTTCTCCAAGATTGGACTGTTTACATCTTTACCTCGTTACTACTCCTGCTGCCTACAATTCATTCCCTTCTGTATTTGATTGACGTAGGCAAAACGTTTCAACAATAAAGGTACAAAACTTTTGTACATTTGTCTTAGCACTCTTTTGAGTTCAGGTCATTGTCTTGTTTATATTGGAACCTCTACTGGGCTCAATTATCAGATTTTATGGATAATAAATATTTCACTCTTCACTTACATTGGGAAGTCTTTAGCATATTTTATTTATTAAGGCAATAATCAACATAGTATTTATACATTTAGGTATGTAAAATATTCCACTTGCTCTGTACTTCTCACTAGATACTGTAATACGTCTGAATACACAAATATGTACACTGTATCATTGTGCATATTTGTTAATTATCGAGAATAATTCCAGATGATATATTCTGATCAACAGTGTTAATGTTTTGTTCAGGAATGGACGCTCCACCTGCGGTACGCCCAGGCCAGAGACGCGGGTCAGTACCTGTGTCAACTGTCCACTCACCCTCCCATGGTGTTTATATCTACACTCACTATCACAGGTATGTAGCTGCCGGGGAGAGAGAGAGAGAGAGAAACTGAGAATTAAATCTGACCACAATAGTAGGCAGAACCGCATCGTTAGCGCTTTTAACTTCTTTATTTAGTCACTATGTTCTATATATATGATATATATGTATACATACACGAGTGTGTGTACTCACCTAGTTGTACTCACCTAGTTGAGGTTGCGGGGGTCGAGTCCAAGCTCCTGGCCCCGCCTCTTCACTGGTCGCTACTAGGTCACTCTCCCAGAACCGTGAGCTTTATCATACCTCTGCTTAAAGCTATGTATGGATTCTGCCTCCACTACATCGCTTCCCAAAACTTCCTGACTACTCTGTGGCTGAAGAAATACTAACATCCCTGTGATTCATCTGTGTCTTCAACTTCCAACTGTGTCCCCTTGTTGCTGTGTCCCATCTCTGGAACATCCAGTCTTTGTCCACCTTGTCAATTCCTCTCAGTATTTTGTATGTCGTTATCATGTCCCCCTATCTCTCCTGTCCTCCAGTGTCGTCAGATTGATTTCCCTTAACCTCTCCTAGTAGGACATACCCCTTAGCTCTGGGACTAGTCTTGTTACAAACCTTTGCACTTTATCTAGTTTCTTTACGTGCTTGGCTAGGTGTGGGTTCCAAACTGGTGCCGCATACTCCAATATGGGCCTAACGTACACGGTGTACAGGGTCCTGAACGATTCCTTATTAAGATGTCGGAATGCTGTTTTGAGGTTTGCTAGGCGCCCATATGCTGCAGCCGTTATTTGGTTGATGTGCGCTTCAGGAGATGTGCCTGGTGTTATACTCACCTCAAGAGCTTTATCCTTGAGGAGGTTTGTAGTCTCTGGCCCCCTAGACTGTACTCCGTCTGCGGTCTTCTTTGCCCCTCCCCAATCTTCATGACTTTGCACTTGGTGGGGTTGAACTCCAGGAGCCAATTGCTGGACCAGGTCTGCAGCCTGTCCAGATCCCTTTGTAGTTCTGCCTGGTCTTCGATCGAATGAATTCTTCTCATCAACTTCACGTCATCTGCGAACAGGGACACTTCGGAGTCTATTCCTTCCGTCATGTCGTTCACAAATACCAGAAACAGCACTGGTCCTAGGACTGACCCCTGTAAGACCCCGCTGGTCACAGGTGCCCACTCTGACACTTCGCCACGTACCATGACTCGCTGCTGTCTTCCTGACAAGTATTCCCTGATCCGTTGTAGTGCCTTCCCTGTTATCCCTGCTTGGTCCTCCAGTTTTTGCACTAATCTCTTGTGTGGAACTGTGTCAAACGCCTTCCTGCAGTACAAGAAAATGCAATCCACCCACCCCTCTCTCTCTTGTCTTACTGCTGTCACCATGTCTTAGAACTCCAGTAGGTTTGTGACACAGGATTTTTAATCTCTGAAACCATGTTGGCTGCTGTTAATGAGATCATTCCTTTCCAGGTGTTCCACCACTCTTCTCCTGATAATCTTCTCCATGACTTTGCATACTTTACATGTCAGTGACACTGGTCTGTAGTTTAGTGCTTCATGTCTGTCTCCTTTTATAAATATTGGGACTACATTTGCTGTCTTCCATGCCTCAGGAAATCTCCCTGTTTCGATAGATGTATTGAATATTGTTGTTAGGGGTACACATAGCGCCTCTGCTCCCTCTCTCAGGACCCATGGAGAGATGCTATCCGGCCCCATTGCCTTTGAGGTATCTAGCTCACTCAGAAGCCTCTTCACTTCTTCCTCAGTTGTGTGTACTGTGTCCAGGACTTGGTGGTGTGCCCCACCTCTCCGTCTTTCTGGAGCCCCTTCTGCCTCCTCTGTGAACACTTCTTTGAATCTCTTGTTGAGTTCCTCACATACTTCACGGTCATTTCTTGTTGTCTCTCCTCCTTCCTTTCTTAGCCTGATTACCTGGTCCTTGACTGTTATTTTCCTCCTGATGTGGCTGTATAACAGCTTAGGGTCAGATTTGGCTTTCGCTGCTATGTCGTTTTCATATTGTCGTTGAGCTTCCCTTCTTATCTGTGCATATTCATTTCTGGCTCTACTACTGCTCTCCTTATTCTCCTGGGTCCTTTGCCTTCTATATTTTTTCCATTTCCTAGCACACTTGGTTTTTGCCTCCCTGCACCTTTGGGTGAACCATGGGCTCATCCTGGCTTTTTCATTATTCCTGTTACCCTTGGGTACAAACCTCTCCTCAGCTTCCTTGCACATTGTTGCTACATGTTCCATCATCTCATTAACTGGTTTCCCTGCCAGTTCTCTGTCCCATTGAACCTCGTTCAGGAAGTTCCTCATTCCCGTGTAGTCCCCTTTCTTGTAGTTTGGCTTCATTCGTCCTGGCCTTCCTGCTTCCCCCTCCACTTGTAGTTCTACTGTGTATTCGAAGCTTAAAACCACATGATCGCTTGCCCGAAGGGGTCTTTCATATGTGATGTCCTCAATATCTGCACTACTCAGGGTGAATACTAGGCCCAGTCTTGCTGGTTCATCCTCTCCTCTCTCTCTTGTAGTGTCCCTTACGTGTTGGTACATGAAGTTTTCCAGTACCACCTCCATCATCTTAGCCCTCCATGTATCTTGGCCCTCATGTGGCTCCAAGTTCTCCTAATCGATCTCCTTGTGGTTAAAGTCACCCATGATCAGGAGCTTTGCCCTGCATGCATGAGCTCTTCTGGCCACTGCAGCCAGTGTGTCAACCATCGCTCTATTGCTCTCGTCATACACTTGTCTTGGCCTCCTGCTGTTCTGTGGTGGGCTATACATCACTGCAATTACCACCTTGGGACCTCCAGAGCGCGCGCGCGCGTGTGTGTGTGTGTGTAAATGAGTGTATTTGTATGGGTGTGTATTAGACTAGGCATTTTATCAGTGCACTTTGTTGTGCTCCACACAGAAGCATCATCAGAGATCGCTGGGGGTCCAGAGATGTACGTTCAAGAGGGCAGTGCTGTAGTGCTCGACTGTACCTTACATCAGCATACACAGACCCCGGTGTACGTCTTCTGGTACCACAACCGTACCATGATCAACTTTGACACCAACAGACAGGTGAGTGAATGGTCTGACCAATAGACAGGTGGGTGAGATGTATATCTAACAGACAGGTGGTGAGACATACTACAAAGAAGACAGGCATGTTACATATATTACTAAATTCATGAGTGTGAGAAGTTTAAAAACTGACAGGTGAGTGAAATTTATGACCAGCAGAGAGGCGGGTGAGAGGTTTGAATAACAGACATATAGGTAAGAGATCTGACTAAGAGACAGGCGTGTGAGAGGTCTGGCTGAAAGACTTGTGGGCGAAAGGTCTGACTAGCGTACAGGTACATGAGAAGTTTCATCAGCAGGCAGCAGAGTGAGAGGTATACCCAGCAGACAGGTAAGTAAAAGTCTTGACCACATGACAGGTGGATGACAAGGCTTACCAAGAGAAAGGTTAGTGAAAGGTCTGACCAATACACTGGTGGATTAAGTAAGCATTGAGACACAGGTGCACATAAGTACAGTTATACATAGTGTAAGCTACCCACCAGGATAACCCTAAAAAAAAGTCATACAAAGTGGCTTATTTCTATTGGGGTCCTAGTAATATCTTAATATTTAAACCTTAAAAACTGAAACAGAAAACAGAAAATTACCAGCATAATTACGAAACAGGATTTCACATTATAGACATTTTTTTATAAATTCACAATAATAACATACTCAAACTAAGCGCTAAAACCGAAAGGGTCATGCAGCATTGCATGATAAATACACAGTGTGCTGCAAATGTCTGATGATGGGATCTGAGTTTGAGATCCCCCACCCTCCCTGCTTACCTATTGCCATCTCCCTCACACATCTTCCCCCACCAGGGGGGTGAATGAGCTACGAAGTGCTGGGGGACATGTAACCTTTTCCCAACAAGGGTATTTTGGAGGACGAGCTGGGGATGGTTGCAAACTACACCCTTCAAGGGATGGCTAAGAGCTGCCCCGTGGGATTGAGGCTGTGTTCAGAGAGTGTTCTATGAGTGGGATATCCAGCATTTATGATCACCTATCTAAGTGCTCACACCTCCACTCTCATTCACCCACTACTCACCACTCCTTTCCACTCTCCACTATCCACCTTCTTCCACTCAGATCTGAATAACAAGAGTTACCATTTTCTCCTTCCAGTCTTCCATTCACTTAGCTGACAGAATCTATTCATGGCTTACATGATCATCCCTCCATTAAAAATCTCCTTTCACCTGGCAATAGGTGATTTTTTTCATATACACATAACATCACAACCATGGCACAAAACAATCACACACACACACACACACACACACACACAACACACACACACAACAACCATAGGCTAGGAGGCCAATGGCTGCAAACCTCACTCAAGGAGAAAGACCTAGGAGTGAGTATAATACCAAGTACATCGCCAGAAGCACACATTAACCAGATAACTGCTGCGACATATGGGCGCTTGGCAAACCTGAGAATAGCGTTCCGGTACCTCAGTAAGGAATCGTTCAAGACTTTATACACTGTGTACGTCAGGCCCATACTGGAGTACGCAACATCAGTTTGGAACCCACATCTGGTCAAACACGTCAAGAAATTAGAGAAAGTGCAAAGGTTTGCAACAGGGCTAGTTCCAGAACTAGGGGAAATGTCCTATGAAGAAAGGTTAAGGGAAATCGGTCTGACAATACTGGAGGACAGGAGGGTCAGGGGAGACATGATAACGGCATACAAAATACTGCATGGAATAGACAAGGTGGACAGAGACAGGATGTTCCAGAGATGGGACACAGAAACAAGGGGTCACAGTTGGAAGCTGAAGACTCAGATGAGTCAAAGGGATGTTAAGAAGTATTTCTTCAGTCATAGAGTAGAGTTAGGAAGTGGAATAGTCTGACAAGCGATGTAGTGGAGGCAGGAACTATACATAGTTTTAAGACGAGGTATGATAAAGCTCATGGAGCAGGGGGAGAGGCGGGGCCAGGAGCTGAGTCTCGACCCCTGCAACCACAATTAGGTGAATGCAATTAGGTGAGTACACACACACACACACAGTAGCGACCAGCAAACAGGCGGGGCCAGGAGCTATGACTCGACCTCTGCAACCACAACTAAGTGGAATTAGGTGAGTACACACACACACTCACACTCAAGAGGACTGGAAACGTGGAATGCTAAGGTGCTCAAGGTGGTGATGCCAAACTAAAATATCAGACATAACTAGAGGGAGAATGGGATGGATCAGGATGTCGAGATATTATATTCCCCCGATGTGACTGTGAAGTAGAGGACATTGTGCCCGAGAGGCCCTTCAGTGCTAGCGATCATGCGGTACTGAGTTTGGAACTCATTATGCAAGGAAGAACCCTAACTTCAAAAGATGAGACAATGAGGCATAAGTCAATTCCTGAATGGAGAGCAGTTGATAAAGGAAATAGATAGACAACGAATGAAATGACTATGTTGCTGAAAAATGCTGTAAGGAAGAGGAAAATTCTTGCCTTGGAAAAGAGAATGTGAATAGAGTTAGCCCATGGTTCACTTAGACGTTTAAAGAGGCAAAATATAAGAATGCAATAACATGAAAAAAAAGAAAGCAAAGAATGCAGGAGCAGAGAGGAGAAAGCAGAATAACCTAAAACAAAATTGCGATGATGTGAAGAGACAATTTGAGAATGGCATATTAAAGGCCAAAACTGATAAACTAATACACTGCCACACGAGATGGAAGATAGTGATATACGGGGTAATAAAGCTGAAGAATAGTATAGCGCACGAGAAATAACATGGAAGTTAGAAAAGTGTTAAACAAAATATTTAAGGAGAATTCTAAGGGGAAACTGGAACATTACTAGAGAGTCTAGAAGGGAGAGAACACCAACATACTCTGAAGACAATGTACACAATACAAAAAGAAGAGATGAAGGAACTACTTGGCAAGCTGGTTACCTTCAAGACGATGGTTCTAGGTAACATCTCTCCATGGGTTCTGGCAGTAGAAGCAGGAGAACTGTCTCAACAACTAGTCACAGTCTTAATAAGTCATACAGGGCAACTGCTACAATGATTAACTAGTGCAATTTAATAATTAGAGGTAAAGAGTTGTGCAAAATAGGTAATAATTCTGACAGACATTTGAGGAATTACTTGGATTAAATATATATTATTTTAAAAAAGACCTGTGAGGTACCGGTACATAGCGGACAAAATTTAGCTATATAGAGTTAATTCTGATTAAATCTTAATCCACTTGTGTTGTATGATTCATTAGGATTTGGTATTCTACTACTAGAAATATAATTGTAATAATAAATGATTATACGAATAGAGATTTGTGTGAATTTTCAAAAAAAAAAAAAAATAATGAAATGATTTGCAAATACACTGAAATAAGCGTTGAGTGGCTTACTGAAGTGTATTAAAGGGAATTGTGTAATGATAATGCAGCCTCAGCTGGAATACACATGTGGTGCTTTGTGTTTTAAACAACTGTAACATTCTGCAAAAAAAATGTGATAATTTTAATGCATTCATAATCTATGCATTGTTGAATGTATAATGATTGTTTTAAGTGGTAATGTTGATTTTTTGGTGACGATGTTGGTGTCGTAATGATAATGTTAAGATTGCAAAGATTGTGTTTTAATGCGATGATGTTGATTTTGTAATGATGATTTAAGATAGAGATGTTGCTTAAGTAAAGACCCACATGGAATAGTGAACTGACGCTATAAACAATGTCTTGGCATCTTAACTGATTCAGTGACATTTTATATTGTTATATTGTTATTGTTGAACTTAAATTTGGCATAAAATTATTTAAAAACATCAGTGTTTATTAACTCCCATTTATGATTTAAGGCTTTACCTTTAAGAAGGTAATATTGTTACATACTTAGGAAGACATCTTAAAATCATTTTAGGATTTTAAGAAACATCAGTTAAGTTTGGTATCTATGAGTGTGTTTCGTCAAGACTGTGCAACACTGTGCAGTATTTTGCAAGATAAATTCTTGATTTGTGTGTGTGTTTGTTATTACGTTTTCCCCTCAAGTTACTGAGTTATCAATCAAGTTACTAAGCTGTCACCAAAGTTACGAAGTTGTCTCTCAAGTTACTACGTTGCCGTCAACTTGCTAAGGTGTTATTCAAGTTACTACCTTGTCCCTATAGTTACTAACTTGATATCCACCTAGTCACTATCTTGTCCACCAAGTTACTAACCTGTCCCCCTAAAGCTATTAACTTATCCCTCAAGTTACTCTCTCCTAAGTCACTTTCCTCTCATTCAAGTTACTGTCATTTTCCTGTTTTATTCCCTCCGATTACTTGTCCCTCGTGTAACTTATTTATTCCTGATATTCTATCTTGTCCCAGATATTCTA